GGGGCGGATGGGTTATGCCTGGCCAAGGGGATGCACCCAGACCAGCACACACAGGAGTTCCTTTGGCTCAGCTGGGTCCCAGCTCGGCCATAGATAGGATTTTCAGTCCCAGTGGCATTGAGTCCGTTTTACTTACTCAATTCCTTGTTTTGCTTTGCTTGTGTGTGTGTATTTTGCTTTCCATACTGCACTGTCCCTGTCTCTAACCCATGTTTTCCAGCTTTCACCCTTCTGATTCCCTCCCCAGTCCTGCTGCAGGGGCAGGGAGTGGCTGTGTGAGGCTTGGCTGCTGCCTGGGGTTAAACCACAACTCCCTCAGGAAAACAGCTCCTGGTTTAACCATGTGTGACACTTCAGTACAGAACATATTCCCAATCCCTGCGCTAAAATCACAATGTGCTCTACTCACCGGGACACAGAGGATGGGCCTGACAGATGGAAAATGAACGGCAAACCTCAGACGTTAACCCATGCACAGTGTGAGAACAACAAGGGCTTGTGTGTGACAGTAACACCATCACGACCCAAGACATGTGGGATGTGCACAGTGACATCAGCAAAGGGACAGTTGGCCTGGAACCTCCTCATGAATCCAACACCTCCTGAAACAGTTTATTGCCAGTTCTCTTCTCTTTCCTTGGCCCCTTTTGCATTACAGGATTAGTATTGGCTGTCCTTGACACGGTGAACACACTCACTGGGGTTTATAGCAAAACCCCTTAGGAAGCTCTTAAAGTGAGGAGCAGGAATAGCAGCAGGATTTTCCCTTTACCTAAGAGAATATGCATATATTTCTGTATTTAGATTTTGTGTATAAACCCAAGTCCTGCTGTGAAGCCACAGGCAGTAGGAGGGCAACCAAGATCCTTGAGCTGACCTGTAAGTTCATTCTTATGTATATGACACACAGAATTCTATACGTCCATTCTTTTTTCCTGTCTCTGTACCAATAAACAGGCCCTTGGCACCATTCCAAAGCCACGATTACTGGAGCAACTGGAGTCCTACTTGAGGAAAGTTCCCAGGAACTGAAGTCACAGGTCTGACAATGTTCTCTTAACAATATGATTTTCCCTTACCTGAGAGAATATTTATATAGTTATATATTTAGATTTTATATATATTTAGACTACAGTTATAACATGTATTGGTATACACATTTGTATCTGTACAAGCTAAAGTTTGATAGGGAATGTGATGATCTCTGAGACTCCAGATCACCAAACAGGTATCAACTGTCTGAAATACATCCAGTTCAAGGAAAAGGCCCTGGTGAGTTGAAGAATTCCAGTGCAACATTCAAACCCAACGTCAGCCCAATGGTATGACAGGCAAGAGGTGAGGAAAGTGGTCCTTTTCTTCCCCTTGGGAAGCTGCACCTTCCCACGAGAAAAGCAAACTCTGATGCACTGGAGAAGGGAATCCCATCCCTGCAGGACACACAGGCTCTCACTGCTCCCAGCAGAGCTGCTCAAAGGACATTTTCCTTTCAAACACTTCAGTCACATCCCATCAGCAAAAAATCCTCTTTGCTGCATTAATGGAATTATGGTTTTTAAAAAGAAATCCATGAGAGATGCTTGCCCCTTTGGATTAGCACTGCCTGCTGAAGGGATTCTAACTGCATTGGTCACCATGTCCTGTAGTGTTGTGCAAAACCTGTCTAACTTGCAAGTGCTGTGCCAAGAGCTGGGTTGGATTTCAGGAGTCCCTATTAACTGTGCCATTTGGCTGCTGGACTGCACACACAGCATAACCCAAAGAGAAGGATCCATGCTCAGTGGCATTTGGGGCAGGCTGAGGATGGGGAGAAACACCAGAGTGGCCACACTAGTGCAGCCACAGCTGGCACAGACTGTCCCACCCAGGAGACTCAGAGGAGCCACCAGTGAGGGAACATTTGTGCTGAGCTGGGACCTGCCCTGGCTGGACATGCTGACCCTGTGATGCCCCAAGCTGTCCCACCTTGAGCCACCACTGCTTTACACATAGCTGGGGACTAATTAATCAGTTTAAAGACTTGAGTCTAGGCCAAATGAATCAAATTAAAGGCTCAAAGTTTTCAAGTTCAAGACAGATGCTAAAGAACTAGGAGAACAAAACAAAAAATCTAATTTTTATCAGAAATTAAAAAAGCACCATGTGCTACCTTGGGAATTACTAACTATCTAACAGGAAACCACACTAGTGGCTCCCAGAGGGATAACTGACACTAGTGTGACCTCTCAGAAAGACACTGAAGATAATGAAAAACACACAAGAGAGTCTGATATCCATATCCACATCCATCCCTACAGTGTGACAGGTGTTGTCCTGTCCCAGCTTCTGAGTTGTTTTACCAAGTCACAGCCCTTGACACGCAAAATCCTTTGCTGTGTCTGACCTCATTCCTAACATGGTTTAGGTTCACTGTCAGCAGTACAATCACACATGAGGATTTTGCTCTGTCTCCCTACGTGAGGAGGATGAGGGAGCACAACATGGATCAGCCTCTGTGCCTATATGCGACCACCAGTGGAACATGAAGTGGCACCAGTAGAAGCAGAGCAACAGAAACCCCACAGCTGTGTCAAACACAAACACCTGGATGGCATAAAGAGCACCCAACACAACCAAACGCCTAATAGGAACATTTGGACACCACATTGCAGTAACTTCTCAGCTCACTGCCATAAGTAGCATTTGCATCACTCAGAACATATGCAACACTTTATTTGTCAGAGCTATAAAAGTGCTCAAAGGTAACATAAAAAATTATTGCAGTGAGGGCTGGTGCGACCCAGCAGGGTGGTGTGACAGCCACAGCACAACCTGCCTCTGTTCAGAACATCCACCAGTCACTGCCCAACCAGCTACACGTAGAAAACCATTGCACAGAGCAGCAACAGGGAGCAACGCACAGCAGCCCCTGGGAGATTATCTTCCCACCCACAGGGGCCGCTGCAGCCAGAGCAGCACCTTCACTTGCTGGGGATCACTTTCTTTCCACCCACAGCAATTGGAATCAGGAGCTTCCGGTACTCCAGAGGGAAGTAATCCTCTATCAGCACATTCAATGGCATCTTGTCTGTCACCAGCCCTTGCCTTTATCCAAAAAGAGAAGAAACAGAGTTGTTAGTTGCTTCCACTCCATACCAGAGTAAAGTTTTCTTGCAGTGATGTTTTTGCATTTAACAGTTGAAAAGGACAAAAGCTACAGGCTTATTTTGCAGGCAGTGATGCCACACTGCCTACACAGGACAGCAGGCCAAGAGGGTTCCTGCAGACCAGCTTCCCACACAGCTTCCCCCTCTTTGTCACAGAGAGAGTCATCTATACTGATCTATGCCAAAGCAGCAGCTCACTGCTTTGCAGAAAGCACAGTCCACCTACCATGGGATAAATGTTACCATCGAAGACATGCACAGAGTGATGTAAGAGCAGGAAATAGCTCAGTACTCAGCAGATTTTACAGTCATAATTCAGAGGTGGTTGGTATTTGCCAAGTGTGTAGGACAGGTAGTTTTCCAGGACACCATTTAGCTGACTGGCTGAAAAAACATCAGCATCTCCCAGTTTTATACAAATAATTTATTCCCTTTGCTTGCGGAAGGAACAGAAATACTGTCCTTATGCAGGAACCAGACACAGAGTGAATCACAAGACAACACACTGTGACATTTGCTGCTTGTGCACACCCTGGCAATAACCAGGTGTTACTTGGCTATCAAAGCACTACCAAACACTACTGCAGGTTAATAAGAACCTCCATTTACCTTCTCATCAGGACTTCCAGGTCAGCCATCTCCACTGTCTTCCTCCCTGCATGGTTCGCATAAGCTTCCAGATCATCGCTCAGCTGCTTGAAGTATCTCTCACAGCTGAAGGAGGATTGAGGAGGGAAATCACATCAGTCTGTGGAGCTGTGAACACCAGAAACTCACTCACTCATGCAGGATGAGCTGCACTATAGCTGTTCGTTGTGCAGGTCACAGCCTGCCAGGGAGAAGAAATTCTCCAGCTCACGGACAAAGCTTGGCTTCTCAGCCCAGGCTCCTTGGAACTTCACAGCTAAGACAGCTGTGAAACAGCTGCACATCTCACAACCTTTCCCAAACTTCCCACACATGCAGGAACACGTTGATACCAGTGAGAGAGAAATCAGCGCTGAGGGTCAGACTATTGACTCCTATGGTGTGACATTGTTCAAACAATCCACAGATTTTACTGCTGAAGGTAACATGGTCTATGGATTCCAAAAGCTGAGAGACCTGGATTCTGATGGAACACTGCACAGCTGGGACACCCTCACTGTGCCCAGCACAATGCCCTTTCTCCAGAGCCATCCTGCTCATGGAGAATGTTAATGATGAAAAGATTGGGACCGGTGCCATTTCCTGTGACAAAACCCTGATGCTCCTGCAAGGCCACAGTGGTGACAAACACCCACACAGCAGCTCAAAGCACTCAGCACATTTCTGCCCTTGCTCTCATCAGAGCTCCCATGACCCTTCCCAGCTGAAGAGGGAGATCTGTCACTTTGCCAGCAGCGCTCCTGACGGGCTTATTGCTTCAGGAGAGACAAGAAAAAAAAAAAACCAAAACACTGAAAAGACTAAAAAGAGTAGGAAGTGCAGTTTGTTGCAACTTACCATTTTTCAACAATTTTGAGTGCTTCCCTGGTCACTGACACCTTTGCATAATGGCTAAATATCGACTTTATCAAACTCTTTGCTATGTGAGGCTCACGTGGTTTCCTCTGGGTCACTCCTGACTTTTTCGGAACTGGCTTAGCCTTCAGCAGTGGCAGGGGAGACCTGTGAAGGAAATTGAAAAAACTCACAGTGAATGAACAAAGCTGGGGGACAGGCAGGAACACCAGGCTGAATCTGGACAAACCTTATGCTGCAACTACCTCAAGCCCTTCATTCTTTCTCCCTCCCAGTTCTTCAAACTCCTTATGCCCACACAGGACAGTTTGCACACTGTCCTGTGTCATTCTGCATCATGACCTGGAGAGAAGCCATGCAAGCTCACGTTCCCCCAAGATAAGCTCATGTAACACACTGTCAGCAAACCAGAGTTCTCTCCAATACATCACTGCAGCTTCCACTGCATCCTGTAGTGTTCCTTCTCCAAGAGTACACAAAGTTTGAGGCACCACAGGTCACCTCTGTATCTGCACACAGGGGAGTACTGCAGGGTATACTTCTACATTACTACAAACTCTAGTGGGGTTTTTTTGTGGGTTTGGGGTTGGGTTTTTTTGGTTGGTTGGTTGTTTTGTTTTTCCCTCTCTTAAACAAGACTTTAAGTCCCAAAGGAAGTTACATCTGTTTTCCATTACAGAAAGGACAAATTGTAACAAGAAAAAGTGAAGTGAAATCCATGAGTTTCACTTAGTAGATGATTGGAAAACAACAGAAAAGACCTAGAACCTCAGGCTGATGCAAAACCCACAGAAGGGGTGTCTGGATCATTTGTCTCTCTCTCCAGTCCACCTGCATGCGAGCACAAGAATTTGGTCTTATTGTTTATAGCTTTAATAAACAAAGACCTAGAGTCATGGGCTAGGAAATTCCTCCTGTTCCCCAAGACCCACTGCCAGAGGTTCTGAGGAAGCATACAGCGCCATCAGATTTCTAGTTACGAGGGTGCAAATGTTAACTAATTTGGAGTAATGCAGAGGACAGCTTCAACTTCTGTCTCTAGGAGAGCTTCATTTTATAGTCAGCACATGACAACTGCATGGAGCTTTAGGCTTCTGCAATCACAAGTATGTCATTCCATGTGATCAATATCTCATCAGTTGCAATTCCCACTCTTCTCCAAGGGCCTGTGCACCCCATACTGGAGTCTATGGCTCCAGAGTAGCTTACCAGTTGAAAACCCCTATGAAAATCTTTTGGCCTTCAGCACAAGAAAGTATTACAAAAATGTTTGTTGGAGAGAGTTAAGGCATCAGATCTGCTCTGGCAGAGCTCCAACATTCACTTGATTCACTCTTTACTCACTGCTGCAGCAGTGAGTGAACTGAAGCCTTCGGGACTGCTCACTCCCTGGGGCAGCTGCCAGAGCATAGAGCAGGTGGCAAAGCTCCCCCAAGGCACTGACACCCCCAGACACACTTCTGCCAGCTCCTGCTGGGCATGGCTTAGACTTACTTGGGAGTTTCAGGTTTTGCAGCAGGTGGAGTTGACAGCTGTGGCCTGTAGACTGCAGCACGGACAAATGTAGGAGTCTTCATGGAAACCTCTGGGGAAAAGAGTACTTGTTCAGAGTTCCTGCAGCAAACAGTGCTGCAGCAGCAGACAGAAACACACATCTTCCAACTCCTGGCCCAGTGTCACACTGCTGTGGCCCCACAGTACCCTAAACCAGCACAGCTGATAGTTGCTCACTGCTGCAGTGCCACCCACCTACACCTTCTGCCACATGGGCTGGTGGCTCCCCTTGGGTCCCTGTGCTGGCCCAGCTGGCTGGGCAGGCTGCAGGGCCACACAGGGCCAGGCTGCAAGGGCCCCTGGCTAGCCTGATTCAGGCTGCTGAGAAGCTGCAGCCTTTTTAACCAGAAAGAACTTCAACGTCTGCAAATTCCCTGCCTGCCACTCTGCTAAACCAGTGGCAAATACTCCTGAACACAGAGATGAGACGAGCAACAAAACCACATTACAAGGGCCAGTTCAGGAAGATCTCGCCTATTCAGAGATTTTCCCAGTTCCCTCCAGACAAGGATCTTGTTATCAGTATCTCACCTCTTCTCTGCTGTGAACTACCCACACCAGTTTCCTCCAAGTCTAATCTGCATCGTTTAACTTCACTTTTGAACCCCTTCACTTCTCAACAAGTGAGAGCAGGAAAGAAAACTGTTACCAGAACTGAAATATATTGAGCAGCTTTGTCTGGAAGAGGAAAGGCCATGCAGGGCTTCTTGCCTGGTGGTTTTCCATGCAAGCTGAGTGCAGACCTGTAATCCAGCCCACCTGGTAATGGTGCCAACTTCCCAACCCTCCCTCAGGAGCTCGGACACCTGTCCTGGTATAGAAGTCAAGCCCAATCACTACAGGCTTCAGGTACTACTGAGAGTGAAACTCCCCAGCTGAAAGGGTCAGAAATCTCTCAAAGCAGGGCTGGGTGAACTACTGTGGTTCCCTGCCTTAGCTTCTTCTGACAAAACATGTCTGTGTGCTGGAGGGACAGGGAGGAGGATGCAGGGAGAGAGACTAATTATGCTGAGGTTTCCAAGGCAAGATTTATGGCAAGAGTACATAATTTTTCATCATTTCTTCCTCTCCTTCTCCAATGAGGCCTGTAAGGTGCTACTCTTGTTGTTCCACTCTATCAGCAGAGACCTGCATCAAGACCTTTCTGCCTCTTCACACAGCTGTGTAACAGATAAGCACACTGGCACATGACTGTGGACACCTTAAGGACACCTACAGCTCTTCTTGTGGCCAAAGGGTATCAGTTTAACTGTTGGCTTTGTGCACACTGCACAAACACACACAGACACTGATACTCTCATCACATCTGAATATGCCTGAAATCTTGGCAATGGGATTCTTTTAGGGCATCCTTAGTTCATTTTTTTATTTCAGGGTGTACTAACACTAAGACCAGTCCCAAAAGACATCACACTAGAACTCTGGCCATTCTCAAACATGGCCTTGATCAGAGAGAGCTCAGTCTGATGTGTTTGCTCCTCCAAAAGGCATCAGCACTCTTGGGGCAGTCTGATGCAGTGTCTGAAGAACCATTTAGAAACAGACACTTCCTGTCAGCTCTCTGGAAAACCAGCCTAACTCCTTCTGCTAACTGGAAAGGACACTTCTTACTACATGTACAAAATACAGAGCTCTAAATTAGGTTCCAAGGCTGGAGTCACATAAATGGCTGTGGAAACACCAGTTCAGGGTAAGACATTGAAAAGCTGGAATGAAATTGGGAGACAGGAAAGAATAAAACGAAGGACATCCCAATGTTGCTGTATAAACAAACCCACTTTGCACTCAGTTCCCTCTGTTTGGTGCACACCCATTATGTGCACCTCAAAAAGTACAGGATGGTCTTGGTCCCTGAAGCACCTGATGAGCCAGTAATGATCTGGCCCTAGAAACAGCAGCCAACAGCTTTCCCTGGACTGTCTGAAAGACTAAACAGTTAATAACATTAGTAACCTCTGTAGTTCCTCAATTTTGGGAGAGATAACAGAGAAACATTTCTCCAACTGCCTTCTGTTACTGCTGCAATAGTTTCTTACCTTGACTGTCAGGGTGTTCATCTTCATCCTCATCCTCATCAGGCTCTTCCTCCAGTCCATCCAATTCCAGCATGACAGCCTGATCCTCCAGTTCATCTCCTTGTTCATCATCTTTCTTTACTGGATTCATCCCAGATTTTTCAGATGAGGAAGCAGCATGAGAATGCCTGTCCAGACTTCCAGCTCCAACATCTTTGGCAATCTCACGTTCTAGATTTCCAAAACAGGGAAAGTACAGCACTGAAATAAGTACCATAGCCAAAATTTAACAGCACTCTTAAGAATGAACCCCAATTCTGCATTCCCAGCAACTCACCTATCACATTACATCTGCAAAAATCAGGGTCAGTACATGATAAGCTAAAACACTGATGAATCCTCAGCTTTTCCCTCTGCTACCTCTAGGTGTGCAGAGGTCACACACAACAAACAGCACTTGGCAATGTGAAGGCCATGAGATTTGGGTGAAATTTTTCAATTAACTTTCTCTAATAAGCATTTTTTCTCTCAAAAGGTCTTACCAAAGCCTTCGTGCTGCACTTTGAACACAGAAGACCCAGCAAATGCACGAAGACAAACTTGGGAGATTCTAATTTGTCAACACACTCAGGAGGTCTCCAAATTTTATCAATCTTGGCCTGATTCTAGAACTTCCGCTAGTAAATTTTAAGCAAAAATGCCTTCTGCAGTTACATATCTCTAAACACTATTGCCAATGTGATCTTGGTTTCCCTCGGAGCAGTCTTCCAGGTTAAAATGACAAAACTGGTTTGATATTTTCCCAGTATTTAGCCCAGACTCCAGAATGCAAAAGAAGTTAAGTCCTTCTCCCAGCACTGATGCCAACAACACAGCCTGAGAGATCTTCAGCATTAGAGCTTGTACTCACCAGTTCCAGTAAAGCTGTGGGGTCCAGATTTGTCTTCTGCCAGTTCCTCTCTTTCTGCAGAAGGAGTTTCTGTTTCCCCTCTGGTTCCCTGTGCTGCAGTTAGCTGTAGTTCTGCTTTTCCAGCCCCTTTCTCCTGCAAGTGGTCAGGATATCCAGCACTTGCACCATGTTCTGCAGTTAAAATAGGAAATTCTATCATAAATCTTACAACAAAACCCCCAATCAGCCACAAGCAAGCAGAAATTTGCTCATGGTAAGTAAACCCAGCCATAAGCTATAAATAAGTGAAGCAGATGCAGTTCTCTACAGCTGAGAAATGCCCAACCTTTCCCATGCTTGCTCTACAGCCACCTAACTAGGGTGCACATCAGATCCCAGGGAAGGAATCTTACTTACAGTAAGCAGAGCTACTCCAGATCTGTCCTCTCTATGGCTATTCTCACTTTTGGTGACTGTGTGAAAGACCAATTTCTTTTTCCTTTAGGTCTAACAATACCTGGAGTTTGTGCTCAGATTCCCCCCCTCATTGCCTCAGTTTTTCTGAATAAAAGGGTTAGGAATTGCAAAGCATCAGTAGAGTGACCAAGGAGGTGATTACCTCTGTCCAAGGGATTTTTAAGGTCCTGAAGACACTGAAGAGGTTAGCTGTGACATAAAAGTGACCATACCAGAGCAAATGTCTAGACTAGTAACTTCCCAAGATTCCTTCTAAGTCTGTCCACAATTCCTACGTATTACCTCCTTATCTCACCCTATCTGTGACCAATTTACAGTGCCCATGTCTGGGCTCCTCAGTACGAGAGAGATGGACACAGTGGAGAGTCCAGCAAGGGCCACCTAGGCAGCTAAGGCACTGACATATCTCTCCTAGAAGGAAAGGCTGAGAGAGCTGGGGGACTGTTCAGCCTAGAAAAGGCTCAGGGTAGATCTCATCAACACACACAGGCACCTGCAGGCAGGGAGTGAGGCACAGAGACAGGCTCTTTTCACTGGTGCCCAGTGCCAGGAGCAGAGGCAACAGACTGGAACACAGGAGGCTCCATCTGAACATAAGGAAACACTTTTTCACTGAGTGACTGAGCACTGGAACAGGTTGCCCAGAGTTTTCAGTCTGGAAACAGTTCTGGGCAACCAGCATTATGTGGCCCTGCCTGAGCAGAGGGATGGGTTGGAGAAGGTACACATGAGGTCCCTTCCCAACTCAACCACTGTGACTTCAGATAGTGCCTGCTAAGCCCAAATCCTAAGCCATAGTACTCACTGCCAACCACCACCTCTTCAGAAAAAGAAAGCTCTTCCATTGGGGCACTCTTCTGGGAATGATCTTGCTTGTCTTCTTGCTGGTTTGTAGGTGTTTTTGGAGATACAGGAGTTATCCTGTCAACATGCTCGGGCTCAAGGTTTAAGCTCTCAGAGTATCTTTGGGTCCTTCCCTCATTTGTGCCCACACGGGACATCTGGCCCCCTGGCCTTGCTTCCTCTTGAGCTGCATCAGATATCTTGCTCCTCTGTGGTGAAGTTTCCGAACCTGACAGCTGGGGTTCAAGAGCAGAAAGCTTGCTTTGGCTCTGCTCATCCAATTGAGGCTGAACAAAGAGCTCTGTGCTGTTCAGCACGATTTCGGCGTCACTTGTCAGAATCTCAGATGTTTCTGAGCCCACAAGGTAGTTCTGTGCTGTGGAGAGAGTTTTAAAGCAGGTTTTATGTGAAAAACTGTTCACGGTCATATGGGTACACTTGATTACCAGGACTTGCATCATTCAAAATGTAAGTAATTCAACCAGATTTTATTTATCCTCCACAAATCAAACACCGAAAATATATGACCACACCTCAGTGCCTTCACCTTTCTCTACCAAACCATCTCCCCAGTACCCAGAGATGAACATGAGCCCAAAAGATTCCTGTGGTAGGAATCACCAAACCGGGCAAAGAACATATTCAAGTGCTTAGAATCCAAGGCACTACAGAGGCAGAGCCTGATTGCAATCTTTCTTCTCAAATCACACTATTTCTGTGACTGCATTAGTAACCTTTAAACTGTAGAGTACAGACCAGGCTTCAGTCACTGCTCCAAAAGTCTTATGCAAGGTCCCTCCTCCCAAAACAGAAGTAACAACACAAAAGAAACCTTTGCTCCTCAGCATGTTCTGTTCCACTCCTTCCTCAAAAGCCTCCATGTTAATGGTTTTGTGCTGCTTTAGCCTCCGCAAACCTTTCTTTTCCACAGTGTCTGAGGCCAATAAGGAACCAACAGACAGCCGAAGAGAACTGGAAAACAGCAGGGAAGAAATAACACTCCCCTTTTACCCTCAGGTTACAGACATGGTGCCACCAACAGTGAGACATTTCACAAAGCCAGAAGGAACCTCCCAGAAAACCCTGAAAGATCTCATGTCAGTCTTTGAGCAAATGGTTAGGTATCACAAACAGTGCTTTACAGCCTCCCTGAGACACTGAAAGAATACAGCTGACAGCAGGGTCAGAAATTTTAAATAACAAATAACAAAAATATTCTGAGCTATATTGTGTTCTGATTTACTCATGAAAACATGAGAATGAAAGGAAAAATGAATGAGCCTTAGAAGAAAAAAGGAGCAATTGCAGCAATACAAGCCAGACCAACTCAGGCACACAGTGCAGAGCCACAGCACCTGAAAATCACAAGGTGTGTAGTGCAACACCTTCAAATTCCAACAGCAGAGGGGGGTATGACTGTGCTGTTGCTAACACAGGTCTTTATCATGAACAAAGGTGTCTGCACTGCTCTACACAACTAGAGATGTGATTAATCAAGGCAGTCAGGACATTCTGGGTTAAACTCACCGAGTCAAAGCAGTGCTGTCCAGCGTTGACCGAGCTAGAAAAAGTTGGTGACACATTAGCTGAGAAATTACCCTCTACACGACAGCCTACAGAAACACTCCAATGGATATTTCTCTTTCCAGAGCCAGTCATGCTAAAACTCTCTAGAATTATAATTTGGAGTAAACAGAATTAGATAAAACATTGTTTATCAACCTCTTTCCTTTTTTTTTCTCAAACAAGAACTTTGTAACTTATTTGATCTAACTGCAATGAAAAGATGCAGCTGCTTGTCTTCTAAAGTTTCTGGGACTGAGGTGAAAACGGGGATTGCTTCCTTTGGAGACACCTCATAACTCAAGAAGCACCAAGTCAGGAAGTTATATACAGTCAGGGCAGAGCCTGGAACCTGGTTAAAAAGGGCCTATTTTAAATATGATAGAAGGAGATTTACCTTCTCCATTATCCCCTTTGCATAAGGTACTGCAACCCAAACCTACAGCTGAGCAGCTACTAACAGCTGAGCTGCATCAGGTGAAAATCAGCTGACAGCAAATGCAGTACAGACAAGGTGATTTCTGAGTGCAGCCTTACCTTGGTTCTGGGGAAGTCTTTCATCTGCCGCTCTCTCAAACTCAGACATGCTGAGTTTCTTTCTCTTCTTATTCATACGGAACACGGCGACAGATGTGTTCTCAGGAGCAACGTCTGACAGCTGCAGTTCCCCCCTGGCAATACAAACCAAGCTGCAGAGGCATTGCTGAAAATCCCACCCAACAGGATGCAATTCTCACCACTGAATCAGAACTAGGGAACTCCTGTTCCCCAGTCCCACCCTGGCCACTGCAGCTACACCTGGCAGTCTAATAAAAGTGAAAGTTACAAAAATTACTTACATGCTGGAAACCCTCTTAGCTGGGAGCTCTGGTTGAGCTTCTTTTGTGTGCTCATGGTGAGATATCTGAAGCGCCAGAGGTGAAACTTGTGGTTCTGCCAACAAAGCAAAACATTTCCTTTTCACCATTCAGTCCAGCAAGGTGACAAAATGCAGCACAGTGTCAAACTCACACACTACATGCTGTAAGTTACATTTATCAACAGGTTAAAATAAAGACCTGGTGACAACTGTTTGGATCCTGCTCCTGGGAATGCTGGCACGGACAAAGCCAGTGACAGGTAGCAGCACAGGGTTCTCTGTGCTGCAGCAGAGCTGAGCTGAGGTTTGCAGCAGCCTCTGTAACTCACACCTGATCCTACAGCTAAAGGCAGCACACGATTACAAGCTCAGTCACCAGGATAAGACTGAGTGAAGAGGATTTTGAAAACTATGACTCCACCAGTGCCAGGCCTGGTGTTTCAGACAGCTGTATCACACAAACTCGTTCAGCTGCTACTGCAGTGATTCCTCCCACATAAAACAGTCACACAATGGTCTGATTTCTGTTCCTCCTAACAGGGTAAAGATAACAGGCTACCAAGGAATGGTCCCTGTTCCAAGCTCCACCAAAACATTGTGCTTCTGCTCTCAGTTCTCCTGGAAACCAAGGACACTTACGGGTCCGGATGACTCTCCTGAGCATGTACCGTGGTGTGTCATTGTCCAGGTCAGGGAACATAGTCAGTCTCTGCTTCACCAAGGTGCTTCTGCCAGAGCTGCTGTTGCGTCCCGAGTTTGGTCCAGTCTGAGAAATTGCAGACATTCAACTCAAAACTAGCACTTTTGTCATTACAGATCTCAGCACCAAAAGCATTCACCATCCACCTTCTAACAGCAATCCAAGAGCTAACATCAAACCGAATTCCCAAAGGGGAACATTGCACGTTTGCTCCTGACAACACTGGAACGCCACGTTTGGACTGGACACAACCCAGCTGGGAGTATCACTGAAGTAGCTCTCAAAGCTCAGCCCTCCTCGTGGACACAATCCTGAGGTACCTCAACGCTAAACCCGCCGAGGTGTGAGGCTGGAACAGCCCTGACTGCTGGGCCAGCACACCAAACTCAGCGGGATCAGCCCATTCCCAATGCGTAAAGGTGAACAGGGCTGAGGGAGCATCCTTCAGCCCCGGGGCCTGCTGCAGGGGCATCGCTGAACGGGGAGAGGGATCAGGGAGAGGGAGAAGCGAGATGGAGGGAAGAAAGAGGGGGGACCGAGGGGGGGGACGGGACGGGACGAGGAGAAGGACGCC